AATATCAGTTTTGAATATTCTGCATACATAACATATTATTACCTTGTAGCAAACTAGATTTAACACATACCATGGACTCCTTTACCTATTCTATGTTGAACCTTTATGCATGATTTCATATAATAACAGATGAATACATATTCAGTTAAGTATCACAAAAATCAACAATTTCAATGTTAACATACTCAACATAGAATTTTGACTCATATACTGTACATTCATACGAGTAAACTGTTGGGTTTTAATTCGAAAATAGTTTCATAAACTAGAAAAATATGGCAACGGAAGACTTAAAATTTTGAAATAACATAAAATTTTATACCCACAAAGGATCTTCTTATAAGTTGTAGAAAGATTAAAACACCGACCATAGAAATGATGAATAAATAACAACCTTTGTAGTTCTTTGGGTCCTCTTGGGAGGCTTGGAAGTTGATGAAGAATGTGGAACCTTTGAGACACCAACAATGACTCAACTTGATGTAGATGCTAGTCCAAAACTCTTAAACCCTTAAGCTTTAAGTTCATAACCAATATGAACTTAAAGAAGGCATGAAGATGCAAGTATTCTTGAAGAAAAGAAGAACAAAAGGGAGAGAGTAACATGCTCTAAGCATGTTACGGTTTTAAGAGGAAAGAAAATGAGCAACATTTCAAGAATGAAAGCCTCTTATTTATATGCATAAAGTGAAAGTATTAACCATTAGGTCCCCATGTCAAGAATGAAAGCCTCTTATTTAACCATTAGGTCCCCATGTCAAGAATGAAAGCCTCTTATATCAAGAATGAAAGCCTCTTATTTAAGCACATATGTCCCCATGTCATAAACATGTCTCCCATGCTTCATTTCGTTTGAATAAACTAATGGAAAACCCATAACTCATTATCTTTATCTAATTTTCGGAATTTATAAATAAAAAGAAGAGTTAGTTTAAATTTTATAAACTCAAGTTTTATAAAATATAAACTTTGTCTTTTGAGTAAAAGACAAAAGGGTTTCAACTAGTCCAAAAAGTTGTACGCAACTTATTAATTCATACCATATGAATTATATAATTATTACTTGCTAATGAAAATTATTATTTCCATGAAATAAATAATTTCCAATTTAATTATAAGAGTTTTATTGAATATTTATTAAAATCAAATGCTAATAAATAATCAATTATATCAAGTTGTTGTTAGTGTGGCTCATTAATATCATATGTTAATTAGCAATATTACTTTAATACGACTCTTGAGCATACTAGACCTTTCACAAACTTCTTCGTAGATTACTTCTTTTCTAATATCAAAGTATTGGCCTAACAGAAAAGCAGTTTTGAATATACAGCATACATAATATTTTATTAACTTGAAGCAAACTAGATTTACCATATACCATGTACTCCTTTACGTATTATATGTTGATAGTTTATGTACTATGATTTCATATAATTAGATATGAATACATATTACTTATTGCATAACAAATATCAACAATTTCAATGTTAAGATACTCAGCTGTTTACATCCTTCTTAATCTCTTGCATGATTTTTTACATCCTTCTTAATCAAAATATATGTTACTCAACAACTCTTGCACATACTTATTAACTCATATATGAATATGTTTCCGTTCCACATAGAATTTTGACTCATATACAACACATTTATACACACACATTCATTCACAGTCAAGAACCTTTCACTTAACAACAAAAAACTGAAAAATATACCACGCCTTCGTACCCAGAATCGAATATACTCTTGCATTTACTATCAAATACTTGTTAATCAACAACTTCAATTTTACCAACAAATAACAAACAAATCCTACTTTCTCAAAAACACTGATTGAAAAAACCCTAAATACAAATGTACATAAAAAACCGAAATCTTTAGGTTACCTGAGTCAATGTACAACACGTCGACTTCATCAAGATCGATAGCATTGTCATTCGTGTTAGTAAAATTTGATTGAAAACCCGATTCAATCATTCTTGGACTCCTAAGTAAGCTTTGTGATCTCGTCCACCTCATTCCGCATCAAATTTGTAATAATTTCTTGGAATTTTTGTTGAAGATTTTGTGACGATCGTTTGAACCGAAATGGAAACGATTTCGGAAGATTTTTCTGCGAGGGTTTATCATTAATCGTTTGATATTGATAGACTTACCTTTTTTATGATTATTGGTTGTTACATAATTATCATTAAACACGTATAAATCACTGTTGAATATGTTTCCATACCAAAATCACGATAGAATACATATTAGACATTGTTATTTATGTTGACCCTTAAATAAAAAAATCTAATGGCTGCAATTTGTCCTCATGTTCTCACTTTAAACTGTGTTATCACTTGAACTATATATATATATATATATATATATATATATATATATATATATATATATATATATATATATATATATATATATATATATATCGTCCGGTTCCTGTGAGGATTCATTTTAAAGTTAGGACTCGTGATGACACCTTAAAAGAATTGAAAAAAAATCTAAAAAATACAAATAATCAAATCGAGCATAAATCTATGTCAAGGAGAAAAAAAATTGGAAAAAAAAAATTGCATCATTAAAATTGATCCATGATTCAATTTTAATTTTTTATTTTGCATCATTATGATTCATAATTCAATCTTAATGATCCAAAAAAAAAATTTCCAATTTTTTTTTCTCCCGGACATAGATCTATGCTCGATTTTATGATTTGTATTTTTTTTTAGATTTTTTTTTCAACTTTTTTAAGGTGTCCTCACGAGTACTCACTTTAAAATGAGTCTTCACCCGATCCAGTTTATATATATATATATATATATATATATATATATATATATATATATATATATATGTATATATATATATATATATATATATATATATATATATATATATATATATATATATATATAAATTTTGTACTATTACAATACCAAAATTGTTCAATTGGTATGATGCTACTAACCAAACATGTTGACTACCAAATATATTAACCACCAACTTTCTTGGTTTGGTTGGTAACGTGTTTGTTGGTTTTTCATGATACAATTTTAACAGCCATAATTGTAACCCATTTTATTACAAGAGGTCAATTTATAGTGTTCTTCAAGTGGTTTCTTTTTTTTTTTTTTTTTTTTTTTTTTTTGGTTTTTCACTTGTGTTCTTATGGTTGTTCTATTGCACCTTCCCACATTAATAGTTGATCTATTTTATAGCATTTCGATCTATTGAAACTTTCTAACCAGGAACCCGCGACGAAGACAATCCCATAACACCCATGTAGAAGAGTGAGAAATTTCTTTTAAGATGCATAAGTTCTTGAAGAACACGATTGCCAAGTAGATTTCTAGATGGGATAGAAGACTTATAGTTTCAGACTTTCAGAAGGGTTCGCGGCAGCATGCATAGAAGATTACCATGTGCTGGAAAGGACGTGCCTTACGTGGCTTTGCTCAACAAGATATATGCTACTTTTCAGCATATTAAATTGTAAACAAATCTTTAGTAGAAATAAATCTAAATCTAAAAATAAAAATAAACAAACGCGTATAGCTCGGATAGAAGACTAATCATTGGAGCAAGCAATTATACGTCGAAGGTATCTTTATCCTCACACATCAAAATTAGCAAAATAATTAAAAAAGTTGGTTCATATATACTTCCTCCGTCATGGGAACAAGTTCCCTATATATTTTTTAATTCACTGAAACTAATTAGTCCGTTTTCAAGCTTACAAGGAGGCTTCCTTGTAAAAGATGGGATTCAAGGTTTGGCAGATCCAACCATAGATTATAAAATAATGATCTCTATATAACTGAAAATGATTACATAAGATAAGACGGTACCTAATGCTTGACGAAATTCAACAATTTCATTTTACTAAGATAAAACTGAAAAATAAAATCACAAATTAAGAATGTTGCACAAGTGAAAATCTGGTATTCATTTTAAGACACATATACCAAAAGCTCATCATAGACCCTACATTGGTACTCGATTTGCAATTGCCGACTTCATGTCATGTCATGCAAGTCGGAGTGGAGGAAATAGGCGACATCTTCCGTACGTACTTAAAGTCATGAAATGTCGCATAAAATTTCGAGACATAAATTAGTCTTATAAGTCTCGTTTTTGGTTATTGGTAAGAACATCCACAATTACGAGTTTAATGGGAGAGTTGAATAAGATTACAAACCTATGTGTCATTCAATAGATGAAACTCTACCATTGTGATATACCACCTTGATATTTAATGAATTTGGAGTTCAATGATCATTAAACTCTTCAATTGAAAAAAAAAAGTTTTTAATTCTTAAATATTTACTATAAATTACATTTTGTAACATGCATTCTATTAAACTTTGTAAAGTTCAATGCGTTTTAGGAAAAAATATACAGTTGTATGTATTATAAAAAAATGATGTAACAATCCATTGAACTCTATGGATTTCAATGCATTGTGGATGCCCTAATTTGAAGGTGCAGACTTTTAGCGATCTTTGTCTTTTTGCCATAGTCCGGAGATATGTAATTTTTGTTTCAGTTGGTTGTTAATTAGGTTTACATTTGTATATGCCACCACGTATATGATTTTTTAGTATTCACTATTCAGGGTATTGATATCTTGATGATTATGCAAACTCATGACACATCTTGATCTTCATCATCCCAACAAGTGGTAGTGGTACTTGTGCTTCTAGTTTCATACTTTCATTGGTATTTACAGATTGTTGGGATTAATTACTAGGTCTCACAAAGCTTCACTTTCCATGTTCCATGCAATTGTGGATCTAGAATCCAGATGCTCTACCCGTCCAAAATATTTCTGCATATGAATTACAATAACAAATAATGTATATATAATCTCTTTTACATTACAAAAATCTGTAAAAGATTTCAAGATATACATGTATTTACCCAAACGTGCATGGGTATTATAGTTAAATTTACCACCGATTCTACAGGAATTAAAAAAAAAAATCGAGAAAAAACTATCATGAAGTTTCCAACAGGGTGGTAAGCTTGACAAATTCATCTTCTTTGCAGGAAATGGTTAGACCTCCCATTGGGTGGTCAAACCCAAATTCTTCCTCAGATTGACGCAACAAAACTTGAAACAATGGTTGATCCAAGTAAGATATTGGGACAACAAACCGCCTCTTCTGGGTTTCACCAACGTACACTGCAAGATGACCTTTTGGCACATCACTTTGATAACTTCTGTCACGAAGAGAGGTCGATCTGCCAAAGCATTTTACATTGGAAACTAAAGAAGGCAATCGAATAAGACCCATGTGTAGAAGATTAATTGGAGGAAAACGAGTGTATATGTAGTTTCTTTTTGAAATTGGCTAGGAATGTGGAGCTGTTCTTTAGACGATTTGAAACATATATTTATAGCTTTGTTAATCAACTTCTTTTCCAAGAAAGTACCATATTATATAAAATAGAAAGAAGTTAATAACCGTGAGTGCTTGTTCTTTTCCTTTTATATATATATTTATATCGCATTTTCCGTTTCAAAAAAAAAAATTCATTTATGAGTTTGAGCAACTGTAGTCGAGGTTTATTTACCTACAAATGAAATTGACCAAATAGAAAAGTTTAATATATATGTATTTGGAGAAATTAAATATCCTGTTACCTTTAACTTTTGTTCCTAAAAATCCTCCTACCCAATTAAATGATGATATGTTTAACATTTAGCGAAATTTAATGATATTTTAGTATAGTATGATTTGATAACAATTAATTTGATTACAAAATGAATACCTATAGCGACAAACCTGTAGGGACGACAGTGGGTCGTTGCTAAGTAGACCTATCGGTGATACCTTTTACATACTAAGGGAGAAATAATTATATTCGAAAATTAAATATGTGTCATTTCTCAAAAAGGAATTTGTATTTTATTAAACAATTCCAAATAAAGCTCATATTACTTGGTATGGAGGAATCATTTCATAATATAAAAACCAGATATAATTAATTGTAGTTGGTGATATTTGCAGCAGAGTTTTCAGAAGGTCACATGCCAGGACTACTAAGCCGTAGGCCTAATTTTTCAAGATGTATAATTGGCTGGCAATAGATTGTAGTTTGGAGGTGGATTGGATATATATATTAAATAAACCACTTCACACAGTTTCCATGGTTCTATTCCCATTCATGAATAATGTAAGGTGTTAGAGAATGTTAAGCAAATCAATTCTAGAAAGATGTTCAAACCGACAGATTAATCTATAAGAAATCGGGATCAATCTTTTGGCGTAAACCTTTCCTCCGATCTTAGATTTTACTAGGCTATCTTTGGCGCATAGCTTTTTTTTTTTTTTTTTTTAACGGCAAATGAGATAAATATAAAAAGTAAAGAAAAGGCACAAGCTTAGCCAGCAACTAAGACACACACGAAACTGGGAAGAAAATACAACATTATGAAAAGGTGAATTTGAATGCAAGAAAGGTGAACAGCTCCATTCCACCCAGCAACCACCTCCGAACTTGCTCCTGTGTTTGCACCAAATATATGATTGCGAGATGATATTATCAGCACATTTTGTCGGGGGAGTCCATATGTTTTTGAAAACTTTGTCATTTCTAGCCCTCCAAATATTCCAAAGGAGACAATAGAACACCGTGTTTGTTATCAATATTTTCCTCGGACAGCTATCTAATGAGGCCACGTGATCAATGAATTCCAACACACAAGCGAAACTCCTAGATTGAAAACCGCACCATTTGAAAATCCATTCAAGAACCACCTGAGCATACTCACAGCGAACTAGGAGATGATCCACTGATTCTAGCTCCTTATTACACATCGGGCACTCTGAATTTGTGATGTTAATACCCCTGAAAGCCAAAGTGTCAGCTATAGGGATTCTACCCATCGAGGCCCTCCAAACGAAGCACTTGACTTTCAAAGGGATCACATTTTCCCAACAAATTACTTGTCCATTGTAATGGATCAATTTGGAGTCAATTAGTCTCCTCATAAAGTTTACAATGTATTCCCCATTTGCTGATAAGGTGAAACTGATCAAACCGAAATGGGGAACATTTTTGAAGCCCAAATTTCCAATATCATTGTATAATTGTAAGATTTCGCTTAATTCACCAGCATCATTCAGTTCATGCTTCCAACACCATGAAAAACCGTTCCTTGACAACCTCTCATTCAAAAAACAACATTTTGTGGATTCTAACTGGTAAAGGCGAGGGAATTTTTGTTGGAAGGGGACGATACCGCACCATGCATCCTTCCAAAACAGAATTTTAATGTCCGCACCGGGATTGAGTTTGAATAGGTCATTGTAGTCGATATTTAAAGCAGCAAGGGACTCAATGGCTTTAGAAATGTTGCACCATACTCCAGACGAGGATTTCCTGGCTAAATAAGTAGCAGGCTTCCTGTAAAGATTGTGAATGCTCATTATGACCGATTTCCAAAGACTTCCATTTTCATTCATCAAGCGTCACCACCATTTGGCCAGAAGAGCAATGTTTTGAGCTCTTAGCATGCCAACTCCAAGACCCCCCTTATCTTTTGGAGCGATAACTTTTGACCAACCGACCCAATGAATTTTGTTTTTAAGATCATCTCCACCCCAAAGAAATTTGCGCCTTATTTTCTCCAAGGCTTCAAGGATACCGTGTGGTGTTTTGAATAAAGACATATAATATGTTGGTAGGCTACCAAGAACAGATTTCACGAGGGTTAGACGCCCGCCAAATGATAGTGATTTTGCTTTCCAACACGAGAGTTTGGATTGAATTTTGTTCAAGATTGGTTTCCAATGTTTTTTCAAGGCCATATTTGCCCCCACCGGGACCCCCAAATAAGTGAAAGGGAATTCACCTTTTAAACAACCAAGGATTCGAGCCGTTTCGGTCAGTTCCAAATCATTAGTTCCCAATCCGAATATCCGAGATTTAAGAAAGTTAACTTTCAGCCCAGAGGTGATATGGAAACATTTGAGGATACTTGCTAAGTTTTTCATGCATCCATAGTCCCATTCACCAGCAAAGATGGCATCATCGGTGTAAAATAGATGGGATATGGATGGGCCTCCAGACGGAAGTTTAATACCAGTGAATAAAGATTTTTCACCCGCATTCCTAGTCGCAATGTTCAATCCTTCCATGGCAATGATGAACAGGAAAGGAGAGAGAGGATCTCCTTGTCTAACACCTTTGGAGATAAGGAATTCTTCTGTGGGGGAACCGTTAATAAGAACCGATGCCCTAGAGGAGGATAAGCATCCCAAGATCCATTGTCTCCATTTTTCACCAAAACCCATTTGCGTCATGACTGACTCGAGGTAATTCCAATTAATGGAATCGAAAGCTTTTTCGAAATCCACTTTGAAAAGAAAAATCTTTTTCTTGGATTTCTTGGCCCAGGATAAGATTTCATTCATGATTAGGGGACCATCAAGGATGTTTCGACCTTCAATGTACGCAGACTGGACTTCGTCTACGACCGAACCAACCACCCTTTTTAACCGATTAGCGAGTAGCTTGGCCACTAGCTTATACATGCATCCAATGAGACTGATGGGGCGATATTCAGAGAGAGTGAGCGGGTCACCTACTTTAGGGATAAGGGTAATAAATGATGAATTGCAGCCAGAAGTAAGAGAACTAGTTCTTTCAAAATACTTAACAAAGTTTAAGACATCATTTTTCATAATTTCCCATTTATTTTTGATGAGTTTGAACGTCAGACCATCAGGACCAGGAGCCTTATCACCCCACATGACCACACGACTGATTTGATCTCCTCGGATGAGAAAGGAGATTCCAAGAAGAGGGAATGCTCAGGAGACAGTTGCTTGAAAGACTGGCTAATGAGTTTCGGACGATCCAATCACCTTTCTCGTCACCTTTAAGAAGAGGGAATGCTCAGGAGATTTGATAATGTTGCTAGAGTCGGAGGAGCTTTCAACAAGATTTGATGTAGCACTGGGATTTGGAATGGAAATGTTTAAGTCAAAGGAGCCAGCAAGAGTTGGAGAAACCAGGTTACGATTGGGAGAGATCCCGAATTCAGTGGATAAGCGGCGAGGGGGAAGGGAGAAAGCGGGAATATTAAAAGTGGATCTATCTAATTTTCTTTTTTTGGATTTAGATTCACCGACACCAGATATCGTGATGGGGGCGTCAAGTAATGGATCTGGATCACCATTAATTTGGGCTAACGAATTGGGTAACAGCCCATCTGGAGGCAAGGGGGAATTAAAAGGAATAGTTGGCCCAACATGAACAAAATCGGCTGACCTTTTAGAATCAAGCGTGCCAGATGACTTTTCATGTTCCGCATTTAATATTGCATTAACGTTATCGGGAATCACCGAAATCGGAGCCGTTGTCGATTGCCGCCTGACGTCATCGTTGCCATCGGTAATAGGATTTTGTTCACCGGAGTTCCCGCCAATTTCACCTTCTTCCAGATCATGAAAGTTTTCGCACCAGGTATCAGAAATACCATCGTCATCTTCATCTGAAGAGGCCTTATCTACGACATCATCCTCCAAATCCTCCATGTTGCCAGGGTCTGGGGAGCAATCATTGGAATTATTGTACTTGGAGAATGGTTCCCAGACATCAACACATTCGACGATGCCAATGCAGAAGGACTTCCCATTGAAGGTACAACAAACTTCCTCGTTTATGAGTTTTTTACTGGCGGTGAGGATGCGGGCATGAGCAGACGCCAAATTAATACACCTCCAATTTTGACCATCCACTTCTAATATTTTACCGAGCGAGCTAACAATTGAAGTAACGTTGGCATCAGACCCTAAGTGAATGGGAAGACCGATGATCTTAACCCATGCTTGTCTCTCGAATTTCAATTCTTCATTAAACCCCAACTTTAACCATTTGAACCATCTATTCCATTAGTATTCATTGTTGAGGTATCCAGTAGCATCACCTTGTACATGAAACTTTAGTAATACCTTCAAACCTCCAGCAAAGAAAACTTGGCATGGGATGCAACCATCAGCATTCAACAGATTTGGAAGATCGTTAAGAAGGTCAAAGCTTGTGACTTCACCAAGAAGAATCATATTGCAAGATCTCTCCATTGCAAGAACCTGCGATAGTTTGATTTCCGAGACCACAGGAGGAGGATGCACCTTAGATGAGTTGTTGCGCCTTCCCACAACGTCGGCGAAGGATCTATCATCTCTGATCTTGTTCCAGCCGCTGAAAGGCATTTTTGGAGGTTGAGATTTGTTGACGAACTTCATACCAGGTCTGTGAATGGGTTTCTTCTCAAACTTGGAGACGTTTACCTTTGTAATGCATTGACCACATCTAACTCCGTCCAATGTTCTAGCCATAGCAGCTGCATCTAGAACACCTTTATATTTAATGAACGCGAAGAACGAGCCTGCTTTGTCTTTCCTGCCGGGGATGTAAACATCAACCAGGTTTCCAAAACTATGGAAAGCTTCCTTCAGCATAGCATTTGTAACATCATCTTGAAGGTTAGAGACATAGAATGAGGTGATTATCTTGTTAACCTGAAAGTTTCTCCGGCGAACTTCCACCCATTCACCTCCATCGCCTTTGCGACCGTCGGTCTCCTTAGGGCGCATTTTTTTCGTTTGTTTCCTTTGGCGCATAGCTAAGTTATAACTTAAAAGCTTATTTTTTTTTCTTTTATATATATATATATATATATATATATATATATATATATATATATATATATATATATATATAAATTATTTGAGAACCTAATTAATATATAATAAGCTATTTGAGATAGTTGTTCATTATAAACTTTTGTCTTTTCCACAGGTTACTAATTACAAATTATAATAAATATTTTTTAAAACTTTCTACCATCAAATAGTCACAAAAAATGAAAAATAAACAATAACCACAACTTCCGCAGATGACTATCTGCAAAAATCTTGGTTATCAGTGATTTGTTTTTTTTTTGTCAAAACGACGTTGTTTTGGCCATTGAATGCGAAATCCAAATAGATTTTCATAATTTACATTTAGGAAAATCTAGTTTTTTCTCTAACTTTGAACCTTAATAACTCTTTTAATACAAGCTCTATTTGGGGTGCATTTTTCTTCATTGTGCTCAATTTAGTAAGAGCTATCACTGGACATATCACACACCAAATTTAGATGACGGGAAAACATAAATTTTTAGGTACAAAATAGGCTCCCTAGTTAAAAATATGAAAAAGGCCCAATTTTAACCTTCATAACTCTTTCTCTTTCATATGAAGTCCATTTGGGGTATCACATAGTTCCTATAACAAAATGGGAAAGGTGGGCTATCACACAATTCCACACAAGAGATAGCAAGCCACACTTTTGTACGAGAGAACTTTCTAATATTCTACTCACCAAATCAAACAAATAAGGGATCGCAAGTCGTGTGGCCTCTCAATTAAACAAAATCCTCACATGAATGCACATAAAGGATGTCTAAAACTATTTCCAAACCATGCTTGTATTTTCGTCAAAAAAAAATAATTAAAATAAATATCTAAAAAAAAGTGTAACATCCCAAAAATCAAACCATAAATTTTTTGAAAATCAAAGTATATGTTTTACTAAAGGTTTCATTCATCATCATTAATAAATCATAAAATTATCTTTTAAGTCACATCAACGGTAAAAATGTGGAAGCTGAGTTCTATTTTTAAAACCATCACGTAACATAGAACGAATAAACTAGATGCCATGCCCCTTAGAGAATGTTCAGATATCTCAGTCGAGCTAGCTCCTTGCCCTTCAAGCCAGAAAGGACAAACAACTAAAAACATAAAGTAGAAACTGTAAACATAATTCTTAGTGAGTAATCATAACACTTACCAATTATACATATCATATACATTTCTCATCATATACATAGGCATCAAATAATGATCACATATAGTTGAACACAAAACACATGCTAGCAGACATAACCCCATTCAACTAGATTCCCTATGAGAGGTCTATCTATAGTTGACCTAATATTGTATACTTCCCTTCGATAGGTCTATCATGGAAATATTGACCACTTCCCTCCGATAGGTCTATAATGGTCCTGAATCCTTTTACTCCCACTAGATTCCCTCCGAGAGATCTCTCTATTGTTAGCTGACATATAACGTATAGTCCACATAATAAGTAAGTTTTTGAAAACTCACCTGAATTGAAGACAGATGGAATCCCAACGCAAGCCAGTAGCATCGTTTCTTCCTCAAATAACTACACAATACATAACCCCAACTTAACAATTAAGGTAAAAACATTTTTCTACACTTCCTTATCAAGTCTATGTCAAAATAAGGCTATTGCATGGACAAAAGTCCATTTTGCTCCTAAAAGACCCAAACCTAACACAGTTGACCAAAAGTCAAACTTGGTAAAAAAAGTCAACTGTCCACGTCATCATGCCACCATCACCCAAGGGTTGCGGTGCTAACAGCTAGTCGAAAAAATAGCCGCGGTCAACCTTAGAAGTCGCAGCGTTATCAGCTCTATATTGCGACGTGATTTTGACATTTTAGCTAATTTCCATCCAAGGTCTTAATCCTTTAAGATCTAAGCTTCAAACCTTCAGATTAAGCCAAAATAAAGTCTTAATGGATAAAGAATGCAGAGTAATTCAAAGAATGCAGAAACATCATTTAACCAGAGTAATTCAAAGAATGCAGAAACATGTGGTGTGTGCTCTAATCATCCCGAGCTCTTTCATTTGAAAACCGGAGTACCTGAAACATAAAATAAAAACCGTAAGCACAAAGCTTAGTGAGTTCCCCAAAATACCATACCACATACAATCACAAATTACCATGCACATACATATAGGTGCCATGGGTTCCCCCATGGTCTTTATCTATTATGCCATGGGCTCCGCCCATGGTCTTTACCTGGAATGCCATGGCCTTACCCCTCATGGTCTGACATCCAATTGCCACAGGCTCCCCCGGGATCTTCCATATAAGTATTACAGAGACAACTAGCATACCACATAACACATAATGGGCCGACATTGGTGCCTTCGACCCATGGATATAGTGAGAAGACCCACCTCGCACTGCTGAAACATACAGAAAACCCTTGACTGCTGGCTGACAGATCCTCAAACTACCAATAACAAAATAATACCCAATTAATAATTGGGTTCTAATCCATAACCATAACTTCATACCAAGGGTAAAAAGACCATTTTACCCCTAACCTAGCCTTGTCCAAAACTATGGCCCAAATTATAATCTGAAAGGCCCAAAGGCCAATTAATCAACCAATAGCCTAATTTTCCAAATTGGGCATAAGCCTCTACATGGGCCTTACCTTAAGGCCCAACCATCTTTCTAGTCCAAAACACTTGGCATTCTGATGGCCCATTAACCCATAATCATCCAAAACCCAACTATGGCCCACTTATGGCCCAATTTTCCAAATTGGGCCCAGACCTCTCCAATGGACCTTATCCTAAAGCCCAATAATTTCCTTAGTCCAAAAACCTGTTTCCAGATGGCCCACGAAGGCCCACAACAACTAAGTCCAAGAAATGGCCCAACCCGAGGCCCATAATTGCGAAGTCCATTATGACTGAGTAAGCAGGGCGTACTCAGCTATACGCTGCACGTACTCGCTGGAGGGCTTGCACGCTGCGCGTACAGGCTTGTACGCCCAGGGCACTCCTCTCTTAATCCCACTTTTACCATTAAGCACTTAATGCTTAGCCAATAAGTCCAAACCACAAATCTGAGTCCCAAACAATGTCTAGACCCATAAAGTCACTGACTTGGTGACTTTGCATGCCCCAAATGAACCCAAACTCAAAATATAACACTCTACTATCATGAAAATGGTCCTAACTCATGCATGGATGGATTTAGACCTCAAAGATGGCAAATTTATGACTCAAGGACCAAAATAACACCAAGAGTGGCAACTCTAAGCTTCAGAAAATGGTCCTAACTCATGCATGGATGGATTTAGACTTCAAAGATGGCAAATTTATGACTCAAGGACCAAAATAACACCAAGAGTGGCAACTCTAAGCTTCAGAAACGATATGAACTCATAAGATTTCATCAATGGAACCAAAAAGGTTCATAAACCCAAACCAAAAGAGATTTAAGCTAAGAAACATCAAGTTCAAGACTTTATACCTTAAATGAGTGCTAAATGTTGATGGGATTCTGGATCTATAAGCCTTCACTCCTCTAGTGAAGCTTCAATGATGACCACCTTCCTTTAAAGCACCAAAATCCTCCTTACAATGACCTTCTAGGCTCAAAACACACAATCATGGAAGTAGGATTCGAGTGTAGGGTAAGGAGGACAAGGAGGCTGATAAAATGAGGGTTTCAAGTCCATAAGAATTCTTAAATAGTGGCCAACCCCGAAAATTAGGGTTTTTAAGATCTGACCATACACCCCACGTACACTTCTGTACGCCCAGCGTACACCTTCGGATTCCTGATCTAACCTTGTTGTACGTCCTGCCTACTTGTCAACCCCTTAACCCTAAATACTCTGAAGATCATAACTCCTTTGATATAAACCCGATTCCACCGATCGTTATATCCATAGAAAGGTAATTAGAAGCCTACCCATCAATCATCTCGTACTCGCCTTATCATATCCCGAACGAACATCCCTTTCCATAGAAGCTCAAGCTGACAAAATACCGAAATACCCTTTAACCCTAACACACAAACCGAATACTTGAATAATCTACTATACATCATCCATCTCCGAATGAGTCTCCAAAACTAACTTCTTCAAGGATCCTAAGCCTGCTAATACCCAATACCTGATCACCACCCCGAAATGGAAACAATTGAAACAGGGCGTTACATAATAACTCATAAATCTTCAAGCTTGAAGACTTACAATGGTCAAAAAGGTGCTCAAGAGGTTGGGTATGGCTTGTTTAATGCTTCCTTGATACAAAAATACGATTCCTTCTCCTTCAAAGTGCATCAACAAGCAAAAGAGGCTCAAAAATTGATTAGAAATGGTAGAGGGACAATCTAGTGGCTAGGGTTTGCTCCCAAGGATCTCTGTGATGTGATGGAGGTTGCAAATGATCTAAAATATGAATATGGTTCCTTTAAATACAAGATTACAACCTAAACAAATTGGGTTTGGGTTGCCCAGGATTCATGCCGTGAATCCCTAAGGGTCATGTTGTGATTGGCTTGGTCAAGCAAGGCCCAATCAGCTTAAGCCCAAAAAGTTTTCATCCCAAAAACTAACCCTTTAAATCATAAGCCTTTAATATTTAGCCCAAAATCTCAATCCTTTAAGCTCCAAACCTCATCCTTAAAATCCTGAGGCCTTTACTTAATGAAATAACGGGCCGTTAACCCGAAATAAGAAACATCCCGAAAATGGATGTTACAATTTTCCCCCACTTAACTGGATTTCGTCCTCGAAATCTGTCTTAGCTATAAAGTAGAAAATATTTCTTAAAAGCAAATCCTTATGCTTTTCCCAAAACTAATCACTGAATTGGCGTAACATTAAAGGAGTTATCGAGACCACATGGAACCTCAATAATGTCGCCTTTAAAACAAAACTAATTTAAACTATCACAACATTCGATAACTACCACTGATGGTTC